GAATACTCCTTGGCTACGCTCACGCCAAATTTTATCCCGATCGGATCAGCCGTTTAGAAATGCCAGATTTATTTCCAAAAAATTTCCATTCTGCCCCACATTGCAACCGTGCATTTTATAAATTGCGTTTTAAGGCAGTCTTTATTGTTTTACTGCGTTTTCTGCCTTTAGTTGCATATAAATGATTTGCCATTGTCAGAAACAAAGTATGTACTTGGGTATACCAAAACGAGCAAATAATTCTTTTAAAACAGAAACAACTGCACTACTAGTTGTATTTTTTGCCATATCAATGTATTCAAGCCATTTACTTGTGCGGTCCACCACTACTAAACACCACCGAATTACGAACGGGCCAAAAAAATCAATATGAATTCTAGACCAAACCTCCCGCGCCCTTTTCTACGGTATTAATTCCTGGTGTGGGGGATAGATCGTGTCGCCAAACAAGGCGCGTATTCCTTTAACACTATCTAAATCTTTACTCTGGTTTGGCCACCAGCAGCTTTTCCTAGCCATCGCCTTCATTCTAACGATTCCCATATGCGTTTCATGCAAAAATTGTACCACCTCACTTTGGAGTATCTCGTGAATTACTATTCTATAATCCCAAAATAAACATCCCGCTTCTTCGGATAATTCCAATTTCCTCTGGAAAAATGGCATTAACATGCTATCAGTACACTTCCCTGGCCAACCGTTTTTTACCATTTCGATTACCATTATCCTCTCTTGTTTTCATTCAAATGACCTCAATATTTAACATTTTATTTTCTTTTGAAATTTGACGTACACAATTAATATATGTATGTAGATATCGTAAGGGAAATTATTCAAATTTTTGTTCGCTTTGCTAGGAAATCTTGAGAAATAATCCGCTACATTATTACTAGATCCTACACGTTCAATTTGGTACTGATATTCTGACAGTCAGTGCCATTTGCTGCAATCTATTAGACTCCATAGTCGGAATACCCTTTTTCGGTATAAAAATATATTGCAGCGGTTTGTTATCTGTTACAAGAACGAAAGACCGACCGTACAAATATTGATGAAATCTTTTTAGACCGAAAATAATCACAACACAACCTCGCGATCGAGTTGAGAATATCTTTTTTCAGTTTCGGTAAGTGTTTTTGAAGCAAACTCTATTAGTTGTTCGATACCATGTTCATTAACCTGAGATAAAACATCCGCAACACCAACCGGGCTAGCGTCTACTGTTAGTTTTGTCTTAAGGTAGGATTACCCAACCGCAACGTACTGTAACCGTAAGAAAACGTGTCAGCTGATCGTTTTTGATTAAGGAAAAGCAATGAAAATGCTTACCGAAATGTAGCCGTAACGTTTCAACCTGTATAAAATAGAATTTTATAACGTTGTTACGTGACATTTTTAGAACAGTAATGGCACTTTTGTATGTAGAATAGAACTGTGGCACAAATTCCCTTTTTTCTTACTTTTTTTATTTGTATGTACAAATTTGAATTTTTATATTATTATGCATAAATTTAATAAAATTGTTTAGCTTTTAAATTTTTAGGTTGCATATGTGATGTTAGTAATGTGTATACATAAAATTTTATAGAAAATACATCAATAACATATCAAACTCTAAGAAATCATAGTTAGACTGTTCAAAAAACCTTCTAATTATAGAAGCAGGCGTAAGTCAAACGTTCTAATTCAGTTAATTCCAAGAAAAAAATATACATGATTAAAATATTTCTCCTGGAGTTAGAGGTCTCCAAAATGTTGATATATAATTAATTATATCTTGATTAATTATTTATATATATGATCGATATAGGTATCAATAATAAGGTCTTTGAAATATCATTTGATTGATATATAATATGACATAAATTATTAACCCATTGAGAGCCAGGGTGAAATGTTGATATTGACTTTTTTACAAAAGCGCCGTTATCTCAAAAATATATCGATGTAACGGTACTTCATATTACATAAAATTTTGTAGACAACAATTGGGGCTTTCATATGATATATGTTTTAGAGCCCTATCTCATTAAATTCAGGCATTGTGTGAGTTTAAAAATGCATATTTTTAAAATCATTGACTTGTATTAAATGCAATTGATATAGCTCGAAACTACTTATCCGATATGCTCGTTATACATACATACATGCATGCATACATACATACATACATTCATTCATTCATTCATTCATTCATTCATTCATTCATTCATTCATTCATTCAATTTTACAAGTGCAATTAAAGGTAACTTTAAATTTTTCAATACTTTCTAAAAAAAGTTAAAAATAATTTTAAAAAATCGCGCGATTGAGATGAGATAGGCCTCTCAATCATATATCACATGGAAGCCCAACATGTTGTCTACAAAATTTGATGTGATATGAAGAACCGTAATATCGATATATTTTTGAGATAACTATGCTTTTGTAAAAAAGTCAATATCAGAAAACATAAAATTTGACTTTTGGTCTCAATGGGTTAAAGATATATGTAATATTCTATATCGATCGATAGATATTTCTGAGACCTTTCTATTGATACCCATGTTGACAATATATAATAATTAGTAGCCGAGACATATTCAATTATATATCACAACTTTGAAAGCCTATAACTCCTGCACCTGAATAGAGAAGATAAATATTTTTCCACTTTTATACTCAGAGGAAGATGTGCTATCATATGGTGTATTCAACAGGAATAGAACGCTTGATGAGTTAAACGTTTTTACTTATATATATATTTTTTAATTTTGGTACCTTTTCTACTTAAATATTTTAAAGAAAGTGCCTCTCAATAACCATCACTGTTTCGAACAGCTGATTGAATATTTATTGTACTTTATTTTTGTTTTTTATAAATGTTGAATTTTTTTTTTTAATACATAAAATATTCTTAAGAAAATAACAAAATAAGCAAATTATTGCGAATAAATTTAACATTTATATTAAAAAACGTCTGAAAACTTCAATTATTTTGTGTTTATTTTCAAAACAAGTGTTACGTTTTTAAATGTTCTATAATTGAACAAACGTGCTAACAGTACGGTACGTTACAGTACGTGGGCAGCAACGTTCGGGTAATTCTACCTTTAAACTTGGAATTAAAGTGTGCCGAACATCTGTCCGAAGCTAAAATTTTTCTTAGATCATCTACCACTTTAGTGCATGCAAATGACCTGTTAAATTAAGTATTAGCTTTTAGCAAGTAATGAAGGGGATGAAGTAAGGTTGATACATCAGGCAAAAAACGCCTGCAAAAATTAACTACGCCTAGTAAGGCCTGAAGTTCTTTAACTGTTAATTTTCTGAATCTTCTCTGGATCTACATGCAATCCGTCTTTGTCGATGATGTGACCCAGATACTTAATTTTCTTGCAAAAGATATTGCACTTCTCAGCAGACAATTTAAAACCAACTTCTGATAACAGTTTAAGTACTCTTTCTACTCGCTCAATATGTAATTCCCTATTTGGAGCACTAATAAGTATGTCGTCGATAAACACAACTACAACGTCCAATTCAGCCAACAAATAATCCATTATGCATTGAACACATTGAAGACAGCAGGCTACACGACTACACGAACACAAATGCTGCTGTGCTGCAGTTGTAGTCGTGTGGTAGCTACTAAATTATTTTAAAGACTGCAGCTACAAAGTAATCAGCTGATCATAAAGTTTGACATTTTGATATATATTAAAAAAATTTTTTTTTTGTATTTCTGTTTTTAAAAATGTCTGAGGAAAATTTAGTAAATTTTATAACAACTATTACTAAAATAGTTCATATAACAAATACCGTATATGAATCTATTAAATTTACAACAGGAAGAATCCGAAGATGGTGGGTTCGCCCAGTGAATCTTACTCGAGATGAGGAAGGTTTCTACAAGACGTGTGTTCAACAATTAAAAAACAAGGACGAAGAACATTTCTTTAAGGCGCTTGGCGGTAACAATAACGTAAGCAAATTTAAGATTTATTTTGATTTTTACTAAAGAAACGTATAATTTCAGGTTTTTAGCTCAAGGATGTAATATCCAAATACTTGCTTGGTCGTACAAAATGGGTATTTCAACAGTTCGCAGAATTGTGGGATGAGCTACACTGCATTTATTTGTCACCTCCTAACGTGTGCGAATTGAAAGCAATATCGGACAAGTTTTATGTAAAAACAGGAATGCCAAATTTCTTAGGAGGTATTGACGGGAAACATATTCGGATAGTTTGCCCAAAGAATAGCGGTTCGTTGTATTACAACTATAAAAAAACGTTTAGCATCGTGTTATTGGCAGCTTGTGATGCTAACTACGTCTTCACATATGTTGATGTCGGAGCTTTAGGTAGCCAGAGTGATGGTGGTGTACTTGCCAGAAGTGACTTTGGAAAGAAATTATTAAGTAACACTTTAGAAGTTCCTTACGATGCCAACTTACCAGGAACTTCTATAAATTTTCCCTACTATTTTGTCGGCGATAACGCATTTCCATTAAAAGACAATTTAATGCGACCATTTCCGGGACATTGCTTACCGCAAGATAAGGACAAATTTAATACACAGTTGTCTAAGGCTCGAGTGCACATAGAAAATGCTTTTGGCATTTTGGCCAACAGATGGAGGGTACTGCATACAACGATACATATGTATATCCCCAAAAAATGCAGACAAAGTTGTCTTGGCCACACTGGTGCTTCATAACTTTTTAATGCTAAAAAATGACAGAAACTACTTCACAACTGAGCTTGTTGATCACTCAATTGACAATCGTGACATTGAAGGTCAGTGGAGGGAAGATGTGTATTCTCTGCCATCATACCAACCTAGGTCAGCTAACCGCTCATCCACAACGGCATTTCAATTAAGAGAAATTTTAAAAGATTTCATTCAAAATAATGTGTAATATACACATGTTTATTTAAAATTCAATAACAAAAGAAAAAGCACTTATATTTAGATAAAAAATAAATAAAATATTGTCCTACAATAATACTAAATAAAAAAATTATAATACATTGTTTTACAATAAAACAGATTAAAATATTGCTTTGCTTTTAAATATCCTGAGGGGCGTATTGTCGATTTGTAACAAATTGTAAGTAAAACATTTCTGCAGAATCAACGTCAATAATATCTGGATATTCTTCATCCTCATTGTTTGTGTTTCCAACAGTGCTAAAAAGGACAAGACAATATAAGTTTTATATTTCTGTCAAATTATCAGATATTTCTTACTTTCTGGAACTTGTGACGCCATCTAAAAATGACATGGCCTCAAAATATTTCCACCTCTTTTTTGGTGTTTCAGCTCTACTGCCGGAAGCAATCTGCTGCATTCTTTTACATCTTTTGTAGGAGTCACGAAGCCCCTTCCATCTTTTCCTGCATTGTGCTTCTGTAAAAGTTCATACATATTAAATTTATAATAATAATGACCACATATACATATCTTACCATTCATCTTTACATTTGCAGCAACTTCCTTCCAAGCATACTCCTTCTTCTTCAAATTTTTGTAGTCTGCCTGGCCTAGGTCATATAAAATTATCCGGCTGCGTACCTCTTCTATTAAAATTTCGTCTACATCCATTTTTTCTTGAAATACAAAACTAACGTTAATATAATATGAAAATGCAATAAAATACTTACCAAATGCAGTTAACCAAAAGAATAAAACAATTGAAAAATGTAAACAGCTGTTTCTTGTTGATATGAATTTATAATTCAGTGGTGTCACTTTATCGGTTTTTGTTTTTACTTTTATAAAAAATAACCGTATAAAATTTCAAAGTAATTAAGATTTAAACTATTATTTTGAGTAAAAATATATATGTTGTAATAATTTACGTACCTATTATTAATTAATTCCTATATGGTTATCAGAACTTTTCTCAATAAAGTAAAAAAAATTATGTACATATTTTAAGCACTTAAATTTTTTATTATATTAGCGACACTGTTTCTGTTTTGTGGTTGACAAAAATAGAAATTAGCTTAATTCGACTGCAGCGACAAAAGCAGTCGAGTGGTCGTGTAGCTCTGCTGTCGTCAAAAGAATCGTCTTCATATAAACGTGTGTATTTTATTTTTGACAGATTGCAGTTGGTAGGCTGCTGTCTACAATGTGTTCAATGCATTATTTTTTGAAAAATTGCCTGTATATTAACCATGTATATTGAAAAAGTCCTTTAGACTTGGAAATACATAGTTGTGTATTTACGAGAAGTTTTATCCAGTTCTATTTGTTGATAAGCCATACAAAGATCAAGTTTTGTAAAAAAAATGTTTGTTAAACCTGAAATAAGAAGAAATGAATAACCTGAAATGTTGTGAATTAGTTTCACTTTACCCGAAATTGCGCATTTCTGCGCGTTTTGAGTTATTTTATATTTTCTAAGGTGCTACCTTATAAGCATTTTCAAATTTGATTAAAGGACTACGTAAAGGATGATGTTCTCATCAGACATGTATTTTTGTCATCCTGTTATCCATGGTGTTTGCAAGGAATTGCAGTATTTAAAGGTCCGAATTTTCGTAATTTCTTAGCAACAAAATGGAAAATTGCGGTAGGAAGGAAGAAAAATGTTTGTATTAAAACTGATTTATTATTTCGGGCAGTTGCAACCGCTGCTTGGAAGTAAAGACCCTCACGCTGGAAATTAGTTCTAAAAAACTTTTGGGATTTCGACAAGTCCTTCCAATATGAAAAAAATTATGTTATATCATCTTAATTGTAGACAATGGGTTAATAACCACCAAAGGGTTAATTTTCGCTTAACTTTGTTCTAATATACCTAATTTATGCATATGCTCCATCTTAGACTTTAAAGAGTTTTATTATTTTGTCGATCTTAATTTCGCACTGAAAAACTGATGATTTGAACCAATGTGCATTGTAAGCTTTTTACAACAAATTTGTACTTCTTAAATTACAATTTATGAAATGTTCATTAAATGTACATTGCGAAATTACATTATATTCAGATCCCGTATCCAAAATCATTTCAAATATCTTATTATTTATACTAACGTTTACCTTTACTTAGCATTCTTCTTCTTTACTTAGCATTGAAAAAAGGCTTAAACAGTCCTCTGACGCCGCGACATCATCATCCATGAAATTAATATTTCTTGCCTTACACATCTTCAAGTGGCCTCGCTATCTGCATTGGTTACATTTATAGAACTTATATTTACAGCCTTCGCTTCTATGTCCCGCAAGCCTTCAATGAGTGAGGTCAACAAAATTGCTTTTCTCTTTCATTGTCATTTGCTATGAAAAACTGCTCCAATTGAAATTGGAAAACATTCCATGTATTAGACAAATGATCAAATTTTGGTACACTTAAACCATTCATTTTAATTTATTGTTTTCCTCGTCGCCACTGTGGTATATCTTTATTTATTAATTTTATTAATTCTTAACTTCGTAATTCATACATGTGCTTATAATTAATTCTCTCTTCATAATCTCATACAATTGGCAATTATTGAATACGTTTAATTAAAGTAGCTTAATTCAAAGTATGTTCAGTCGATAACTAATATATCAATCCCAAATATACAACACTATGTATAAACGGTTATTAGATGTAACAATATTGGCAGCAAAATTTTCCGAAAGTATCTATCGTTCGTATCAACTTAAAATTTTTAGACATTTTCTGAAAATTTTTCAGCCATCTTTGTAAGATCTAAAAACCATGTATCACAGCTTTTATGATACATTTATTTCTTGAGATTCTTTTTTAATGTGTGTAGGGAAACGTATTTGAAGATATGGATTTTGTAAAGCCCAAACGTCTTAGCAACAGGAAACTTTTATATTTTGTACCTAATTACAAGTATTAAAATGTTTCGATTAAATTTGCTATATACATATAATTGTATCCAGACCCAATACAAATCGGAAAACTTCTGGAAAAACGTTTTAATGTTCAAAAATATGTTGGTTATGTAGCAATTGTAAACAAATTTACACCAACTCAGTTTGAAGTACCCAAAAATCATAATATCATTTCCCTAACTGCCACATAAAATAGCCCAAAATAATATTAATATGGACCTGTTTTTGACAATAAATCAAAAAGTTTTCAGTATTTTGGTTATTGTGCGTCTTTGCATTTCAGGTGACTACTTATGTAAATACAATTAGTCATAAACAACATATTTCTTTGCTTCTGAATTTCAGACAAAATTTTCCACTAGCTTCCACATTATGTCGTTCTCTAAATAAGGCGTTATTTCGAACTCCATTTAATGATTCAAAAATATAATAAAATTTTGATATACACAAAAATTTTAATATTTTAACACAGTAAATCTTCATCTGCGATGGGTAGTCATCTTGACGTGATGCAGATGCTTAAGTGCGATGATCTGTAGAGCCATGCTGGAGGGAATGGCCATCACAAGTTGGCTATTCCTGGTAGGGTCACCCATTCCAGAGGGGTCTACTTTGAGCGCGAAACTAAGAACTACCCTCCCCCTGTCTGGTAGCGTCTGTTTCCCTATGGGACGGCTATCAGACGCTTTCCACGGCTATTCTCCCCTCACTGAGAGGGGTGGTCATGGAAAGCAAGTCCGGCTGGTTCTACGAACCATACACTTGAATGTGTAAAGTCCGTCTGAATCCACCAGCGTCTGTTCCCATATTGGGCGGCTGGTGGTCTGCGTCTGTTTCCCCTGTGGGGTCGGCAGTTTAACCTGGCAGAAGGTTAAAAATGCACCTGTCACTATGACAAAAATGGAAGAGAAGAAGGACTCATGCCCCGCGTACCCGGTCAGGGGCTTCATAATCTCCGGGGACCCTACTTCCACAGCGACGGTAATGGGCTGTGGAAAGTCGAATGCGACTGTTACCCAGACTAGTCAGGCGGCCACACCGGGTCAGGCTAGTTTGCGAGTTACCGGCGTCGCAGGAGGTCAGTTTGGTACACCCAGGCTGGCTGAATGTAAAAAATTCAAAACAATCCGTAGTTGTTCACCAAGTGGCGAGGTACCTCTGGACTTCTCAGCAAGTACCTCCAAAGCTGCTGCAGCCCAAACCGCCAAGACGGTTAAAAACCCTGCTTCGGGTACTGATGATAAGGGGTCGGCTAAGTCGTCTCTTACACCAGCTTCCCAAGTGCCAATTGTACCTCCAGGTTCAGTGACGGTATCCTCCTGTCCTGGGGATGTACCACCCCCTGCCAAGTCCGGCAATCAACAATCGACTCGGCACAAAAAACCCTCCAAGCGGGCGGCAACTACGAGGCGTTCCGCCTTTAGGATTATTGAGCTACTCGGGTCCAAACCACCCGGAGAACTCACCACGGAGCAATCAGCTTCCCTCCAATGGGCCAAGACCCAGATCGCTGGCAACGACAATGCTTCTCCTCCCGCCGAAGTGAAAACGGAAGCGGCGCCTAAACGGCAACGTTCAGAGGAGGAAGCAGCTTCTGCAAGCCAGCAATTAGGGACGAAACGTCCAAAACAAACGCAGAAGTCAATGACGCGCTCCTTCAGTGAGGTTGCTAAAGACAGCCTCGTTCGGGCCGTCATTGACCGAAGCGATGTTGACGGATCCATATCCCAGTCTAACTGGGATGTGGTGAAGCAAAAGCTAATGGGAGTGTTCTGGCAAGTTCTCAAAGAGAACCCAGGTACTCCTCCTCAATGCGATGACGCTGGATGGTTCCAGGGTCACGTTAAATTAATGACTTGTGCAGACGAACGCTCAGCGTTGCTGCTCAAGTCTGCCATTTCGCTATTGGGTGAGGTATGGGGTGGATCTAAGCTTGATGTGGTGACTCCTGAGGAGATACCACGCAGGCCTCGATCCATCGCCAAAATACCGTCAGAACCCTCCACTCCCGAAGAGATCTTGGAGATCCTAAAGTGCTGCAACCCTCAGCTTCCAACTAATGACTGGAAAGTTGTAAGGGTTTCAGAGGCTGACGGACCTTCAAGACATGTGATCGTAGTCCTGAACAAGGAATCCTTGGAACCGCTGCGAGAAACAAAGGGGAAGGTCTATTACGGCTTCGGAACGATCTTCCTCCACGTTTATCGTAGCGATTCCAAGGGCGATCCCTCTCCGAAGGTGGAGGTAGATGATGAGGTGACCGTGCAGTCAATAGAAGGCACGGTTAGCAACACAACCTCTGATCCCTCCGAGAAAGATGATGCTCAGTCAGTCTCTGAATTGATGAGCAAACTCTCCACTCGGAAGGATGATGAGGTCGACGATGACGACCTTCTGGGGCTATCCCAGGAGATCGCCAACGTCGATGTTGTTACCCCAGGAGATGGTGAGATTGACTCAAATCAATCTACACCACTCTAAAGCAGCATCAGCTGCATTGCTCCTCCGAGTGGCGCAGAGAGGGGAGGAGCTAATAATGGTCCAAGAACCATGGATCCATCAGGATCGGGTTTGCGGACTACAACATAAGGACTATAAAATCCTGTATGTTAAAAGTTCAGGTAAAGTAAGGTCCTGTATTCTGGCCAAAAGCTCTCTTCACATCTTCATCTTATCTGATTTCAGTGATGAAGATACGGTCGCAGCCGCACTAGAACATGGCGGCACTACCACATGGCTGGTTTCTAGTTATATGGCCCATGATCACGGGGATTGTCCTCCCAATAACAATGTCCGTAGATTGGTAGATAAGGCGAATATGCACAATATCCCTGTCATCATATGTGCTGACGCTAACTCGCACCACAGTATTTGGGGTAGCAGCGACACTAACACAAGAGGTGAGCAACTTTTCAATTTCATTATTAGTAGAAATTTGGAAGTAGTAAATAGGGGTTCAGAACCCACTTTTATTGTATCTAACAGAAGAGAGGTACTAGACATAACGCTCGTGAGTGCTAAGCACCGCGAATGTATCACGCATTGGACCGTATCTAACGACTGTTCTTTGTCAGACCATCGATATATAGACTTTATGATTGGTAATATAAAAGGGAATATGAAAAGTATTCTTAATAGAAGGAAGACGAATTGGGAAGTTCAACATAACCTGCTTTCCTCGTCTCTTATTTCGCTCCCTACTCTAGAAAGTACTGAGGACATTAACGCAGCAGTTCACACCCTAACGGATGCTTTCCGTATGGCGACCACAACTGCCTGTAAACCCTCCATCAAGAGAGGAAAATCCAAACCCTCATGGTGGAACACTGAAATAGCAAATGCTAGAAAAGTATGCCGTAAACTGTTCAACGAGGCAAAAAGGACCAATAACTGGATACCCTATAAGACCTCAGTGAATCGTTTCAAAAACTTGACTAGAAATGCGAAGAGGAAGGCGTGGAGGGACTTCTGCACGAACGTTGAAGGTTCCTCCGAGACCAACCGACTTCGCAAGATTCTGTCTACCACACATGTTGTCCCGAGCTATATCCAAAAGCCCTGTGGCAACTGGACTATGTCCTGCAGAGAATCCTTGGAAGTGCTGCTGGACACTCATTTTCCGGGATGTCAACCTCTTAATGAGGAGACGGTAGACCCGGTACATTTAGCGCCTGATACTAGCTCTATAGTCATTAATAGAGAGAGAATCCAATGGGCGCTTAACAGTTTCGACCCATACAAATCTCCGGGTCCAGATGGTATTATACCTGCGGATCTTCAGAAGAATGAAGATCTCGTCACTCCATGGCTGCTATCGATCTATAAAGCATGCCTAAGGTTGCTATACATCCCTCCTATGTGGATGAGATATAATGTGGTCTTTATTCCTAAAGGGGGAAAGACATCACATACCAAACCAAAAGACTATAGACCAATCAGTCTTGCGTCTTTTCTTCTCAAGACTCTTGAAATAGTCATTGATGTACACCTGAGATTAACCATCCCCACGGAATTGATCTCCAAATCACAACATGCCTATACCAAAGGCAAGTCTGTGGAAACGGCTCTACACTCGCTAGTGGGACATGTAGAAAGTTCACTAGCGAATAAGGAGTACTCTCTTGTTGCCTTCCTTGACATCGAAGGTGCCTTTAACAATGTCGAACCCTATGCCATTATAGACGCACTTGATGGACTAGGGGTTGATCATCAAACTCAGCAGCTTATTAAAAAACTTCTGAGTAACAGGGTCATAAGTGCAACGATGGGCGGAGTCAATGTCTCAAGACTTGCTAGTCGTGGCACACCACAGGGGGGAGTCCTTTCTCCCCTTCTCTGGAATGTGGCTATGAACTCCTTACTAAATGAACTGGATAAAAGGAGAATTAAGACTGTCGCTTATGCTGATGATGTCGCGGTAGTGGTATCTGGCAAATTCCTAGATACTATATCAAACTGCATGGAATCTGCTCTTAACTTGCTTAGCAAGTGGAGTGTTACCTGTGGCCTCAGTGTTAATCCACTGAAAACTGAACTTGTTCTTTTTACAAGGAAGTATAAGATTGAAAACTTTATGCCTCCAAAGTTAAACGGAATAAGACTCAATCTCACTGATCATGCGAAATACCTTGGAGTAATCCTTGACAGTAGACTATCCTGGAATATGAACATCCAAAACAGGATAAAAAAGGCAAATATAGCTATTTACACCTGCAAGAGGGCAGTTGGTTCAAACTGGGGCGTCAACCCTAAAGGTATCAACTGGATCTTCAAAGCGGTTGTTAAGCCCATACTATTCTATGGTGTTATTGTATGGTGGCAGGCATTGGAAAACGCTTCTCATTGTGCAGCCATCGAACGTACCTTACGAAATATTGCAATCCTGATCACGGGAGCAATGAGGACGACGCCAACGAAGGCCCTGCTAACCATAATGAACTGGTTACCAGCTGACCTGATGGCGATTCAACTAGCCCTTAATTCTGCAATCAGACTAAACGCGTGTGGTTCGTGGTCCGGTAGTAGAGGTATAGGGCACTCACGAATAATTAAACACTTCGAGTCATTGCATCTTAATGTAGACTATTGCGTTGCGAAACCTCACTTCGACAGACGCTTTCACATCCGAATTCCCAATAGGAATTCAGTACACGAGTCACACTCAACTGATGGTGTAACAAATGTTTTCACTGACGGCTCCAAGAGGAGTGGAAGAGTGGGTGGTGGCTTTTACATTGAAAGATTTGGAATCAAATCCTCTTTTAGGTTACCTAATTATTGTAGTATTTTGCAGGCAGAGATATCTGCTATTAAACGAGTCGCCAACTGGCTGAGGTATTATCAAATATCGGGTGATATATGTATATATACGGACAGCAAAGCTGCGATCAAAAATCTAGCGGGTGTCTTTACGACAAATAGGTTAACCGAAGAATGCCGGGTATCTTTGAATGAGATAGCGAGACATTCTAGGATAACGCTAATATGGGTTCCTGGACACAGTAATTGTCGGGGAAACTGTATAGCTGACGAACTTGCCAGGAATGGTGCGATGAGAGGGGAGGATGAAATCGACGCATTTACTGGTATCTCTCTTACTAACTGTAAGCTACTGGTTCAGACTGAACTATATGAGATGGCTCAAATCAGATGGTTCAGTGAAACCACCTGTCTCAATTCGAGGTCAATTTGGCCTCTATACGATGCTCCCAGGTCAAGCTTACTATTAAGCTTTCGCAGGGAACAGATAAGAGTGCTGGTATCAGTCATAACGGGACACTGTACTATTGGCAATCACGCCAGAAGAATGGGTCTCGAATATAACGACTACTGTAGAAGTTGTAACAATGAGGAGGAAGAGGAAACAATACCTCACCTTCTCTGTAACTGCCCATCATTCAATGAAAGCAGAGAACAATGTTTCGGCCTTTCTGCTTTATCATGTCTGGATGAGCTATCTGGGATATGTCTAAAGAATATCCTAAACTTTGTAAATCAAACTGGTTGGTTTAAAACTGGAAGTAGAGAGTGAAAATCAATTGAACTCCTACGACCACTAGGGTAACACAACGGGACCACAACTAGGTGGACCCAAGTGAGCCACTCATGTTTGATTGAGTGGCTGCCCTTCTTACCTAAACCTAAAACACAGTAAATAAATGTATAATTAAATTGTTAATATTCTTTAAAAGTATGTGTTTTGATAAACCTACCAAAATTTATTTAAACTACCATCCTACCAAATGAAAAAAATTCTACCAAATTTGCTAGGAAAAACTCAAAACGGCAATGCTGGTTACCCTATACACCATTTTTTTATGATCACCGATTTTAAAGTTATGTTACTTATTTGAAAGCAGCGTTGCGCGTTCATATTGTTAAAATTGCGAAGATATTCGGCAATTCACACGTACACTACCCGATCGTAAACAAAACTCACAGCAAGAGCGTAAAAATACAAAAAATTATCTTCAGTTGCTTAACAGCATTCAACAATGTAGGTTGATGTCGCTATGTTTCAAATATTGCAAAAACAGTTTGTAAAAACAACAACACACTTTGTAAACAAGAGAGTTACTTGCAAAAAACTCGTACACTCCAAAAAAAATTTACTAATGCATAAGAATGAAAACACATAAAAACAGTATTTTTAATACTTTTTTTACACATTTTAAGTAAAAAACTTTATGTTTCTTAGCGTCTCTCTTTCTGCGCTTGGCTGTTTGAAAGTAAACACTCGTAAGCCTCGGGAGACAAAAAATTACAACTGTATTTCAACTTTATCACAGGGTAGTTAATAGACCGTAACTCTAAGGCATTGGTGGCCAGAAAGAAAATTTTTAAAATGCATATGTTGTAGTGTAAAATATGAAAGAGAACATAAATGAAAATATGTGTGCTTTGCACTGAAAAAAATTATATGTTTGTACTTATTTGTGTTATTCATATTATTTGTATTATAAATGAACAACAGAGGGAATGTATACATCGATGTATGTATGTATTGACGAAACGATGCATTGATGCATATATCGATGTAAGAATGTATTAATGCATATATTGATGTATGTGTGTATGTGTGTATGTATGTATGTATGTATGTATGTATGTATGTATGTATGTATGTATGTATGTATGTATGTATGTATGTATGTATGTATGTATGTATGTATGTATGTCCGTCTATAAGTGTTCAAATGATTAACCGTTAATCGATAAAATGTTGGCGATTAATTGCTTGAATAAATGACAATACAAATATAATTGTAAATAATTATTTACATAATAAATCTATCTATCAAAAGTATTTATACAAACATTTATTTGTAGCGGCTTTTGAAAATATTCTCTGTGTATCATTTCATAAAGAGAGCAACTAAATTAAATTGTTTTTGTTTTGTGTATAGTTTGTTTTGTTGCTGAGAACATTCGTATTGCATGTGTATGAGTGACAATAACACAATGCCCGCAGGGGCTTGTTTGGCCGCCAATGCTCTAAGGGAACGAAAGAGAACAAAAAAGTCGTAGCCCGAACAGTTTGTGAGAAATTTATGAATAAAACTTTTGAAATGTGTGTGTATTTTTATTTGTAGTCTATAGACTGCACAGAAAAAAATAAATTTACGATACAGTACAACCATGGTGTAATAGGTAAGGTGAGAGCGTTTCGGCAACAAACACAATAAGTTTTTGTTGTCTAGAGTTGGGTTTTGTCAAAATGAAATTTCTAAAATTTAAAAATAAAAAACAATGGAAAGAAATAGTTCTTGTGTATTTCACAATATTACCTACAAAACCGTCGTTACATTTAGCTTGTATCTGCAGCAGGTCAATGTTCAAAAGCATTAAATTAGTGCGGGGGTGAGAAATAATTCTGTCGAAAGCTCGGCAACAAGAACAA